GAGAGAAGGAGGGGAATGGGAGAAAAACCAGCTGCCGCCACTACCAGTTCCACCCCTCCACATGAAGTCATCTACTCCTCCCTCCCTGAGGCTCCCAATACCACCTCCTTCACTCCACTCTTCTGGATTTGTTTCCCCCTCCCCTCTCATTCCCACTTCTGCACATTCTGCCTCTCTCTGTATCCCAGGAGGCAGCCAGGGCAGGCTGTGTTTACTGCTGAGGTAATTGGAGTAGTTTGGAGAGAGCCTGACCCTGGCCCTGCTAAGGCCTAAGATATGTGTGTGTGGTTGTGCAGTGTATGTGTGTGTGTGTGTGTGTGTGTGTGTGCGCACGTGTGTGTTTTTTACACACATGTGTGCATACGCCTGTTTGTGATGACTGGCAGTGAGGCCAGGGAAGGAAAGCAGGCCTTAGCCAGTGTCAGCCCACTAGGGAACAGACAAATTGGTTTTCACTACGCTGTCTTTCTTTTCTTGTCTCATATTCTCCAGCTATCCCTTTCTTCTTCCTGCATATCTCTCCATTTCTCCACCAACTCAGACAATCATTCACGCTTTTCCTTATACTTGCTCTGCAGTGCTTTTTTCTCCTCCTGATACTCTTTTGTTCCAGCTCTCTTTCTATCTCTCTCTCTATGCTCATCATTTCATCTCTCCGAGCTGAGCTCTGATCTGAGCTGCATTGACGGTGACTCTTGCCAGATATGAGCAAAAACTCCCCCTCAGTTGCAGCCGTAGACATGAGCAAATTCATCCAACCTAATCCAGGCGCCTGTTGTGTTTATCTGTGGGTGAGATGGATAGGAAAGGGCCTGGAGTCGGGGGGTGTTAGGGGGAGAGTGAGGTTTCTGCCCTATAAAGCCGAGGCCACTCATCTGTTGCTTATTGTCTTCCACTTGCACATACAGTATGTGGTATTGAACATGAACCCTATTGTCTGTAACAATTGCCATTTAGCTACAGTTTGTATTCATCAACATAGGAATCTAAGCTTTGATCAGGAGAGAGGCACAAGAGTGAAGCATGACAGCGATTTAGCATGCATCTAGTGACCTCATCGCCGGGGTTGTCAGGTAGCGGCACTGGGACACGGTTCACCTACTTTAGCTCATCACACTCCCGTCTCCCTCCTCCCTGTTTTCCCTCCTTCCCTCATCCCTCTGTCTTGCTCCTCCCTGATAGCTTTTACCGCTCTGCTGATTTCACAAATAGGCCTCATTGATTGAATCTGATTCTTGTGGATAGAGCAGCTTTATTGAGTGGCTTTTTCGCTGATGGACAGGAGTGTGTGGGTGCGTGTGTTTGTTACGTGCGTGCATGTTAGGGATGATGAAGGAAAACTTCCTCTCCTCGTCCCTCTCGTTCTATAATCCAGCAGCTATTCCTCTCCAAGGAATTCTAGCAGTGAGATCATTACAGGCACACACACGCAACATGCTCACACACACAGTCCTAGGGAGGGCTGCGTCTGAGTGAATGTTTTATTATGGGTGGTGCATGCCGACTGAGGTGTCTGTTAATTGTGGCGACACCTTGAGCAAGGCAACATTAAACTGCTCTCCCTGGCTGTTCATCAAACATTCATCTAAGATGTGCTTCTGAGGTAGGAAGCTGGCCCTGTACACCTTGGGCTGCATGATTTAAGTCAATCCAACTCCTATCTAGTGGTGTCACCAGCATTATTTTTTGGTCTCTCCTGATCTCGCAGCTCCGGTCTGCAGCCATTTTGGATTTGCCATATTACTTGTTGTGCAGCTCAAATCAGGGCGCTAGCACTGCCAACACTTCCCAAACATCCACACTACAGAGAACATAAACGGAGAAAAATAGGGGAAACGTTTCAGTAGGGAATTTGTATTTTGATGGGGAAAAATGAGCTTGTTTCAGATGTAAATCAGAAATGATCTGTCGGGGTTTGGGGGCTTTAGCTAACAAACTGTGTTAGTGAGAAGATGGAGCTATATCAGCGGCACTCCACTGGGGATACACACATTTCACACACAGCAGTGCACACCTCATCCAAACAGCAGCATCTGTGCTTTTCCCCTTTCGCTGCCCTCTATTTTGTCTCTCTTCTCTCAACAGGCAGTGTGCCACCTAGGCAGAGTTGGATGGATGGTGGCACCCTCTTGCCCCGCGCCCATTTAACCCCCACAACCATGCAGATCCATCACCATCCAACACACACATAAGCAGCCCTAACACTCATATCCCAGCATGTATCTGTTTTGAGCTGCAGCCTGATTCCTAGCTCCCTCCTCTTGTACTCCCTTGTATAAGTAGTCTCATCGTGTGAGAGACCAATCCCCCAAATGTTCTCATTATTGAGTTTAAATTTTAAAAGGTCGCAAAGAATTTAAATGTAGCTACAAAGGAACCATGGATCTGTGGTTCTCCAGTTTTCACTCATACTGCTAGGATACGCTTCACTCACATGGGCTACCTGCGCTTTATTTGAGACGAAAGACTAGCCATTTAAATTATTGTTGGAAGACAGCAGGCCTGTGTGTTAGAGGAAGCTTGCGAACAGTATGGTTTCAGCAGAGTGGTTAGTATTTATACAGCTCTCCATACAGTGACAATAAAGTCAAAGACAAATGTTGGATTTATTGTTGTCACAAATGTGTTAAGCTTTGAAACCATAACACATCCAGCCCCCTTCATCATTTGCATCTGGTGAAGTTATTCTTGTTTTGTCTAGCCTTTTACTCTTTCCTTCCCTCATTTCTCAATTTTGTCTAACAAGTCGGCTTGGCCCACTTCCAAAGAACCACTGACAGAGCTTTTTGGGAAGACACACACAAACACACAAGTAAGGAAGGAAAAACAGCTGTTTTGATGCGTCATTAGCAGAGTGTAGCAGACTTGTTTTTTGCTCTTTTTTTTTAAGTTTGTACAAGGTTGTAGAGGTCAAGGTTTCATTTGCAATGTAAATAACTAAAGGAGAACTCAGAAGAGGAAGTAACAGAGATAACAATGAGAAACCAATAATGTTTAAGTTGCATTTTTAGGTGTGATAGGCAGCTATTTCAGGCTTGTTCATTCATGTGTACAAGTGTTTGCGTAGAGGTTAAAGCATATAATTAGTAGTGATTTTGGCTCTCTATTGAAGAGGGTTTACTTGTCCATATTAGCCATGCTAGCCATTGACCTGGGCCATGTTCAATTAGCCTAACCTGGTTATCATTGTTGAAACTCCACATCAGATGGGCCTTTCTTCACCTCCAAAGCTGTTAGCAAGGGGACAAAATAGAGCAACTTGTATGTGTGTGCTTCTTTGTGTGCACAATGTTTTACTTAATGTGTAGCTTAGGGGTTGGTTTGATATAAAATACTACATTACCATGTTATTTTGAACAGAATGAATAATAAATGAATAGATTGTGATCATTTGCAATTTAAAGCCATTTGTTCAGGATCATCTTTTTGATGTTGGGCAACATTTTTTCAGCTCTGTGATGAACATTATCAAAATTTTAATTTTAAAGTATTTGAATCATGTATGTTGCATCACTAGTGTTTGCGTTTCTAGCCATTTGTCTGTCTTTGCAGGGCAAAGTGTTGTAGCTTGGGAAAAAATGTAATGTCATTTTTGCACTTCAAGACTTCCCCCATTAAAAGAAAAGAGAGGCCGAGCACAGTGGAGGTAGCGAAGGAGAGAAAGCAGTAGAGAGAATTTCCTTGCTTCGTTAATTGGCAGCTCTGTGGTACACTAAACATTGCACAGGCACCCACACACAGCTGAATACTGTGACTGCTCTGAAGCCACTGCCTTATATTTAGTCAAGGGAGACCAGCCTCTGTCACTTTTTCTCTTGCTTAACCTCGCTCTTTCTCTTCCTCTCTCTGTGGCTGTGTTGAAGAGGAGTCTCAGGGGAGGGCTTAACTCTGAGCCCTCGTTCTTTTTTTCCCTTTCTTTCTTTCTCCCCTTCTATGTCTTTCTTTCCTTATCGTCCTCTGAATAGAGCGGCAGACTGTTGTTAAACTTAGTCCAGGAGACAGACTCTGCGCGCAGATAGAATAGAGAAACAGAGGAGGTTGAGTATCGGCCTTCCTGCTTTTATCACTGTCGCCACTAATAGGCAGGTCTGCCTTTATACTCTGTGTACATGTTGCATTTACATGCAGATGCACAGCCCCTGTACGCGAGCCACCTCGTATTTGTGCGTCAAAATGACGATGAACCAGCATCACAGTTTTACTTATAGCAGCAAAGGCATGAAATCAATAGTTCACTTAAGGTGGATTTGAGGTCAGCCAGGCTTCACATGCCTGTCTTTGCACCCTTCAGTTTGAAGAGTAATTCACATAAGGCCCTGCTTAAATTATGATGTACAACCAGGAAAATCACAGGGGCTTTTGTGTTGTCATGGTTATTGAGTGTTCAGTAGCTTCAGGGGAAATGGAGTTTGGGGGGTAGAGGTAGGGAGGGGGGCGGAAAAGAAAGGGGGGAGGAATGGATGGGTGTGAGTGGGAGGGGGGGTGCTATCTTAATTGCTTTCCGTGAATAATTTCAGTCCCCTAATTTGGCAATAATGACAGTGGCTGCGGCTTTTGTATTTATTTATCCCAACATTAATTGACAGGACTGACATTAGCCAGGGCGGTTATTGCGCATTTGATTGCGCACAAGGGAGCAAAGAAAATTACAGTAATTATCATTCTGATATGGATTATGAATATGCATTCCCACACTTAATGTCTCTGTCAGCATTTTAGTAACAACAAGGCACTCTGCCATGACAACAGCACTTTAGCTTATCTCCATCTCTGTTCCCCTAAACCCTGTCCAACCAATGCTTGTGGAGAACAGATGACATGTAGTGTCTAAATGATTTAGCAGCCCCACTGTAGCTTTTTAACAACACCCAGGCATGTTGTTTGGTGAAATGGTCGTCTTGTGGATTGTTTCAATCGGCCTGTAAATGGGCCTCAGCTTGTGTGGAATTAGTGTGTGGTGTGTTATTGTGAATGGGCATTAAAGTTTCTGTTTTTCACAGGCGGAGGGAGAAGACAATTTGAAGAAGATGCAGCTGATGGAGCTAGCGATTCTCAATGGGACATACAGAGACAACAACATAAAAACACGTAAGTGAGCCGCCATGAACACAAGACCATCTATTTTGCACCATACGTAACTAATATTTTTACTGCATAGACATACCTAATTGTAGAGAGAACTTTTTTCTGTATTTCTCATTAACTAATACTGTTTACCTTCATTAGATTAATGTGTGATCAGATCTGCTGTGTACATACCATCATATTATCTTTGACTACTAGCAGACTTCTCTCTATCAAGCTCTCCAAACAATTCATGTTTACCTACCCAACCATGAGTAGGACAACTTCCATTCCGTTCTACTCCGTATTTCTTTCCTCTTCATCCATTCCTCTACCCCATCCCCCACCCACCACCCTCCTTGCAATCCAGATGCGATCGCTATGTATCACTTGCTGTTGGCGGACTCTAAACTTGAAGCGCATTGCTGTATTCCACTTGCTCAACTCTGCATGTCAGTCACTAGCTCACACATGTACAGCGTTGCACCAAATGCCATTTCTAAATCACATGTATGATTACAGTGAATCATAAGTAGCCCAAGCATTTAGCTTATAGAACATATTACTCTCTGGGCCCGTAATTATCGTTTAAGTTTAATTTAAACATGATCCTAAACTTAGTTATTCTATATACTTTGGCTTAAATTTATAAAATGAAACCCAAAGTGATTAATTCCACTGTTTAATTTCCCTTATTTAACATCTGCTCAAATGGTAGCCATGATGAACTGGCCCACCACCTAACCATAGTTTTAGCTTAATTTAATTGACCTGCCTTTGGGGAAGCTTGTGTGGCACGGCTCACAGCACAATGCTAATGCAGAACCATTCGAAAAAAGATTTGTGTCTGTTTATTTGTACATTATCCAACTTAAATGGACTGCTGACTGTGTAGGGATCAACATTTTTTAAGTTTTTCACAACTTAAAATATATATTTTATTCTATATTCCCATTGGTACAATGTATTTTAGGCCAGAATTCCTGATCAGTCTTTAGTGAAACCTTCATTGAATGTCTCTCTTCTACATGTAATCAGCAGTTCCATTTCTGTTTTGTGTTGTTTACCCCACCTATGCCATTTCCAGTAGATGAATGTGTAGCTGCCATGGTGATTTGTATGCTTTAAATGCATTGGGATGACCGCAGCATTTTGTGCTTCTTGTGTTTTGGTGTGATGGGTTATTTTTATTTAATTTTTTTGTTTGGCTATGTTTTTTTTTGTTTTTTTTTTGCAACAAATTATGGCTTTTGTGGTTCACCACCATGATCATTGCATGGACTAATTTTCCCTTTTGCCTCCCCTCCTCCTCTCCCCTCTATACCTGCCACTTCCTGTTCCCTCTTCTTTTCCTCCTTTTGTATTCCCACCCTTCACTGTTCATCGTGATTATTATCAACCACACACCACTTTATCTTTTGTCCTCTTTCTTTCTTTCTACTCCTGTCCTTTGCTCTCTTGCTTATGGCAGCCACCCTTGCATTCTCTCTTGCAGCGGCGGCAGCGGCCGCTCAGGGCCCCCGTCTCATAGCGGGCCCAACGGGTCAGGTGTTGCCTCCCCAGGCACTCCGACCCCAAACACCAGCTGGGGGCCCCATCATGAACCTCATCCGGCCCACTCAGATGGCTGCCATGCTGCCCAATGGCACCCCCACCCTGGTGCCCCCCACACCGGATGGCGGGCTTATCTACACCACCCCTTACGACTACCCTTACGCCCTGGCACCCACCTCCCTGCTGGAGTACCCCATCGAGCACAGTGGGGTTCTAGGTAAGAGAGCCTGGGGAAGCATGGGTGCAGCAGGTACAGCGGCCAACTTTAGCCAGCCTGGACAGGAGGGCAGCTTGTTTTACCCCGGAATTGGGGTGCTGGACGCGGCTTCCATGAGCCACAGTCAGGACTTGTTGAAAGGTAAATATGTCGTGTCCACCTGAGGATCAAAAACAGAAAAACTCACAGAGTGGATGTTCTGGTGAAGCTCTTGGTAATGGGATGACCAGCTATGTGGCTCATATGGACACTGTATTAAAATGGCAAAGGGGGACAGATATTACCTTGTGAGGGCTAGGCTCTTGGAAAATTCTCTTCATAATTTAGGCTAAGGTTACTTCACTGTTACGTTTAGTTATGCTCTCGCCAAACAGTTATGCTCTCAGGTTTACATTGCCTCTTTTCTGCAAGGTTTATATAGGAGGAGTTGCCTCAGTGTGAAATGAGGCTTGTTGACAGAAACACGCTCACATACGCGCAGCCTGCTCTCTAACCCTTTCATGCACTGGCCTGGAGGCATATTCAGTCTGGCGGCAGATCCCCTCGGATTTCTGCAGCTTTTGAAATCATTTCTCTGTGCTGTTCTCTGCAGGCAGGCCTTGATGCCTGTAGATAGTCCCTCTCTCACTCCCACTGGGGATGTTCATTAAATTCCTCCAGTCTTCCCTTTTTTCTTTTCCTACCCCTCTCTCCATTGTCTTAGCTTCACCCTTCTTGAACTTGAGTCCCGTGCTAATACCTGACGTTCCCCTTAGTTTCTGTGTCAGGAGTACAGTTCAATATGAGGGCCTATATGTTATATTCATTCTCAGTGGTGCTTTAAGCTCAACACATCTGCTACCAAAGAGACAACTGAACATCTATTGATGAAATAGAGTGTGATATGAGCGGCATATGTTATATTGAGGCTGTAGTTAACAAAAGCAAAGCTGTTTTTCGCATGTTAAGACAGAAGAAGCCTTTGTCAGGTGCTTACCAGCTTTAATTTGACACAGTACTCCCTTAATGTTGTTCGTGGCATCATCTGGCAGCAGCAGACACAAGTGTGATTTTAGCTGACCTGTGTATTTGGGGTGCCTCTGGGAGTCATGTGTAGAACAGACAGGGGCAGCTGACTGGCTTTTCTCTCTTTAACTTGCAGGGTTACACCAGCTTAGTGCATTTTATTTACTCACACTATCGATTGGTGCCTTCAGCAACACAGGGCCCCGTGGAACACACTCAGTCTCGTACTCACACACACTCATGCACTTGGCTCGGCCGCCTGCGCTACTGTATCTAGCCACCATTGGCTTGTCTTAAAATAAGGAAATGTCAGACCATCTGCTTCTTCAGAATAGTGTAGGTTGCTGTGTAGTCATAAGCCAAAACTCACTCTTAACTTGACAATGCCAGAACAAAATCTTTGTTAAATCTTTCTAACTTATTTCACATGTCCCGTCTTCCTCTGGGAGGGCTTGATTTATTTTTGTTAACTCCTGCACACATTTCATTTCGTAATACTTGAACATACCTCGACACATGAACAGTTTGTGTCATGTATACGAGGCAGTATCAAGCACTGCAGTAGGAAGAAACCGGTTGTGACAAATATAGGAGGAAAATGACAGCCTCTGCCGCCAGTGAACAGATTGACCTGGAGAGAAATGGTGAAAGAGGGAAAGAGAAAATGAAAGAGAGAGGGAGAGGCAGGTGGTGTCTGGCACTATTCAATTACCATCAGAGCTGTATTGGATTTCCCCACCTTTCAAAATAAAGAGACAAATTTCTCTCAATCCCCCTCTGGATCCCAGAGGAAGAATCACATTATTTTTTCCAGACAGCCCAGGAGCCTGAACCCTTTGCCTGTCCCCTTTTCAAAGAGTCCTCCATCCAACTCTGAGCACTGTGGAATTTTATTACTTAAGTTATGCATTTTTAAATACCAAGTTAAACTCCAAAAAGGTGTATTATTTTTTTCTACTGCATTTTTCTACACGTAAAAAAAAGAGATATGCCTGGTGTGTGTATATGTACTATAATCTGTATTATGTTGCTATTCTGTGTATTGTTGTATTAGCCAAGCATTATAATGATAATGTTTAAAAATGTGAATGTTATTACTGTAAAAGATGACTGTTTTTCCCCTGCTCAAAGTGAATGGTTTCTAACCTTGTGGACCTGTTACAATCTAGGTGCAATGGCTACTAAAGTGAGACGGCATGACACGCGGGTCCATCCTTACCAAAGGATTGTGACCGCTGACAGAGGTCAGTTTAGTCTCCTAGCTACACTCTACTATTGACTGATGAATTTCAATGATTATTATGCCTATTATGCCTCGATGCCTTAGTTGGGAATTTGTATATTGTCTGTATTGTATTTTTTTGTTTTCCTTTCCACCCACCACCTTTCCTACCCCATACATCCACACACCAGCTAAATGGTTGCTTGTGGTCTGCACATTTTGTTTACATTTAGTACTTAACATATACATTATATGTAGACTGTGTATATGTCAAAAGCTCAGGCAAAAGTGATCTTAACAGCTTTTGGTTCATGCAGCTGTGAAGCCAGGACAGGTAGTACTTTGCAGGCAGCGTTGAAGGTGTATAATGACATTCCTCTGATGTGAGATTAGAGCCTAAAATGGGGCAGGCTTGTTCCCATACATGATTTATCTCCTTGGCTCATAAGGAGCAAAGAAAAAGGAGAAGCATTTCTATACTGTATCTGAGAGACCTATTAGGCAGAAGACAAGTAGCCATGCTGCTACCAGGCACCATTTCACCTTGAGATTTAAATTTATTTAGCATTTTTATTTTTCTATGGAAGATAGACACGCACAGACATAAGCTGAGGTAGCTTGCATTCTCTCCAGTGTATTGCAAATAGATTGAAATAAAGCTAAAATACATTTTTAATATTTCAGTTGTACATGAGGTACTGTCATTTTATATTTGAGCATTTTATATCAAATGTATTTATGGTCCTTGTGTATATTTATATTATATAAAAATATACTGCTAAATAAAGAGAAAGAATCGGAAAACATCGATTCATCTATTCATTGCACATTTACCACTAGTCACAGTTATTCCTCACATAACAGTAGTTAATGTAAGTCTCCTTACCACTAATCACACTGTTTGTAACTTGCACTCCAACTTGACAGACACTAAAACACTTGATTTTTGTTTTTCTTGTGTTTGTCTGTCCGGCCTCTCTTTGCTTCTGTTTTGTGGATTTGGGGGCAATGTGCGCTTAAATTAAACCACACAGCTACCTGATTCAGGGTGGGGGCTTAGTAGTTGGGATCATGATGTGACAACGTCATGATTATAATGAGATTAGCTGGGTTCATCTCACATTGGCTGGGGATGTAGGAGTGGGGTGGGGGGACATAAGAGATTGCATTCATTTTATTGTTAAAATGATGTCATTCCAGTCTCTTCTTGCTGACACTAATATCCTTTCTATCTTTTTTTTCTGTTTGTTTTGTTTTTGTTTCTAACCACCTAGCCGCCACCGGCAACTAACACATGACCTTCTGACCTCTGAACTCTTCACCCAATGACGAGCCGCCCCAAGCCTGCCTGCTGATCAGTTAACTGGTAATTGCCTTTTGCTAGCCTCTCGGACGCAAGTGAGAGAGAGAGGCGCCTGCCCGTACAGTTACCCTAACACGTTCTGACAAAAAAAAAAATATAAACCAACGCAGAATCTTCACAGAAACACAACAAAACCCAACAAAGTTGTGTAATATTCATTTTTTCCCTCTGTTCATTGAGTTCAATTCCCATTCTTTCTCTTTCTTTTTCTTCATGAATCATATACTGGGTGGATGTGTTTGTGGTATTACTCATAAATCTGCACTGAATTATATAGCAATAAAGACCCCCAACCCCACCCTGCCCACCCACCCTCCTGTAATCGCTCTAATTTGGTGACCTCACTTGTATAAATCAAAGTTCAATATTTGACGCAAACCATTTGGTTTTCAGAATAATGACATAATCCCCCTCAAATGTAAAAGCCCCTACCTGCTCCCACCCTGTTCCAACACCCACCTATTGGGAGAGAAAAAGAAATAGAAGGAAAGAGAACGTACACTCACATTAACTTGTTTAATTTCTGTCATTTTTCACATGTAGTGCAGTTGTTGAGCTCTAAGATGTAATTATGAGCTGACACATTCTGGGTGTGCACCTCCAAACAGCTTTCTGTCTGTTTTTAAAAAAAGCATGGCTGAAATGATTGCAAAAGAAGCTTTTTATGATTTATGTGTTTTTTCTTCTGTCTTTTTTTTTTTCTTTGTCTTTTTTTGTTGTTTTGCTTTTGAGTCATTTTCTCCACTTGATTTTGGTTTCTCTGATGTTCATATTTGACTAATTAGCTTTGCTTAAATTGACTAGCCAAAATAAGGCAGGTGGTTATCACTGGAAAACAAAACGCAATCTGATGTTTGCAGAAAGTAGGAAAGGGCAAGCTGGGAAGGTCACTATTTGGGATGAGGGGTCTCTGTGTGCGTGCGTGTGTGTGTGTGCGTGTGTGTGTTTTTAATTAATACTACAATGAAAGTAGGGTGTGCTGAGGCTTCGGGGACATTGGAGCAGTACTTATTAGCTACTGACCATTGCTACGCCCCCATCCACACTACATCCATTATACAGTGCCTGATGTATTTAGAAAAATATCTCAATGAGTTAGCAGAGCTGTGATAGAAAAGACAAAAAAAAAGTATTAAGTGTGCATATTTAGCCAAAGGGTTTTTCCAATGAATTATATATCTGCAATTATGCATCTGTCTCACAGAGGGCTCTCTTTGTGATTTTAGAGTTTGGAAAGGTGTGAATTTGTGGTGCCTGCCTTCAGCTGGAACAGACAGCCAGTCAGTTAGATGTGTTTTCACCCATTAATGCTCTATTTTTTTTTTTTCTGAAGAGGTGAACGCAGGCAATTAACACTAAATCAACATGCTACTCAATGACAGTACATTGCTAGGGGGAAGGGCACTCTGAGGTTCTGTACATAAATGCTTTCGTCATGATACCTGGCTTCTATATTGAGTTGTTTCATCAGCCACATTGCCAAAAGAGTGTTTATTTGTTTGTCATTTTTTGCATCTCAACATTTGGCCATTTTTTTAAGTGTTTTTTTTTTTTTTTTTAGTTATAACCCCAGTTAAATTTCTGTTGGGACATCAGTTGGGCATAATCTGAGCCTTCCTGCAAATTAGACAACGTATTTTGTTTGTTTGTGGTGAAACAGGTTATTTTGAACACATGACAAACCATCCAAAAGCGCATCCACAATGTGTCACACTTCCCTGGGATCGCAGTCTAGCTCCTGAGCCCACAATCTTTTGTTCAACTCTCTCAAGAAAAATAGGATGTGAAAGCCATGCCTGCCTGTTCAAATTGCTTTATACATACGTCTTATATATATATATAAATATATATATAAATATATAAAAATGTAGATATCTGTCATTGCTAATACAAATACAGAAGAGAACAAAACATAGATAATTTTACAGGGTGCTGGAGAAGAGAAAAAAATTGAAAAATCTATTTTTGGCAATTTTAGCTTTTGATACTTTACTTGCAGTTACAAAATCAGAAAAAAATAAAATAAAAAAAACTTTAAAACAGTATAGGGGGAAAAACTGAGTGGGTGAGGATAAAGTGCTGTTAACCTTTTGGATATGATTGGAAAAGGAAGACAAAGACCAAAACAGTCATAACCCTTGAAAAGCTAGCGCGGATCAGAAGCGAGACGGACGCCTAGAGAGTTTTAAAAGGATCAAATCAAAGTGCCTTATCAACAGTGGTTTCTGTTTTCTGAGTATTCCAGTTGTGTTCAATAATATCCAGCACCCACCGAGATGGCGCAGAGAGGAATGGCTAGTGTTACACGCTCTGAATAGTTGAGCAGGGTAGCTCCCACCTTATCGTGGTGTTACCGAAGTTATTCTATGCAAAAAGAATAGCAGTCGTTTTGACCAGCTAAAAATATGTGCCATGGTTTTGTCTTCCTGAAATTATTTTGTTTGTTTCTTTTTCTTTTTCCTTGACTTGATGGCCCTTTACTCTGCTGTATGTGCAGGTTTTGTTCTTTTATTTAGATTTTAATGATCATATGAAATTATTGTGTTGATTTTTGGTGACTGTGACTAACTTCCTAGAACAAATCGAACTGCCAATAGCAATGCAGTATTCTGCCAGAACATGATTTGATCATGAGCTGAGAAAAATACATAAACATTCAAGGGAACGGATATGAGAAGTCGGGGTCGTCCCCGTTGGCATTAAAGCCCCGTTTGTTTCAACAGCTGCAAACTGAACGCATCCAGTCCATGTCTCTCTGTCAATTTGACAACAAACTATCAATACAATCATGAGATTTCTAATGGACGAATGAAATGCTGGATAATGAAAGGAGCAACTCTATTTCACAGCCAAACAGTTTTCAGTTATTGAAACAACTGACAGTTTATTGCTGGAAGGTGAAATAAACCCATAATATTAAATTGAGGAATTCTTAGATCCCAATATTACCCTTGGCAGTTTGTTTTTCTATTCATAGCTCTTTCATCATGCTGTTACACCGAAAGGTCAATGAATTTTTCTTTTTCAGTGTTATTATTTTAAATTGAAATGCAATATTAAAGTGGAGCAAGAGATGGCTATTCAGCATTTGACAGTATTAAGAAAATTCCCTCTGCAATGTTACAACTTGCTGTGTCATTGTGAAAGGCTGGATAAGTCCATCAGGTGAAAGGTTAACTCTATACCTACCGTATTCTCTCTGGCCTGCCTACTACATGTATGATAATGTAATTAACAGCCATTGTTACAGGTTTATAATGTATTTTTCTAATCTCATTTTATATGTATATTAATCATGTTTCTGAGTGCTTTTTTTTTATGAAACCCACTGCAACTCCCCCCCCCCAAACAGCCCTCTCTT